AACCAGGAGAAGGAGAAGAACCCCCCGCGCACACACACAAACAAAAGCCCAGTCATGTTGGCTGCACAAGCTTGTGCTGCTTCCACGTAAGCCCCAGTTAGGTGTGTAGCTTGGAGGGAAAATCAATGTGAGCTGTTGTACTGGGTACATTTGGACCACAGGGATCCCAAGTGCTGAAGCAACACATCTAAATTCTCGAATTAGAGCCATCTAGCAGTGCAAGTATACAAGGTTAAAGCAAAGTTCCTTGGTGGGGAGGGCCCATATCTCAGTGGTACTGGCAGACCACTTGCTTTGCATGCAGATGATCCCAGGTTCAGTTTCTGGCATATTCAGTTAAAAGAATCAGATGATGGGAAATATCTGAGACCCTGGGAAACTCCTGCTGGAGTAGACAACACTGGATTAAGTAGACAAGTGGTGTCACCTGGTGTAAGGCTGCAGCAAGGATACATAATCCATTTCATGGAGATGTTGAAAAACAGGAATTCATATGTTGTTGAAAAAATGTCTCCCTACCGCCGCCACCCCATCTATCAAAAAGCTAACACATAAGTCTTAATACAGAGTGAGTGTAATTATTCTGTTACATGTTAGCTTCAAAAGTGTGACCAAAGGTTTTCAGGAAGCGTCCTGTCCAAGTTGACCACTACCTTTTCCTCTGCGTTCTAAGAAGATGCTGAGCCCACAGGTTTACAGTTTGTCTACCAAACATCATGGTAAAATCACCTTTACCGCTTTGCGGGATGATATGGGTGGCCAAGTTAACTCAAGATGAGAGAACTCACCCTGGTGCCATTTGAGAAAAGGATACAAAAGAGGGATAAAATGCTCCATTAGGTAAACAGAAATATCAGTTCTGTATTTCCCCCCACAAACTTACAAAGGGGGATTTTAAAATACAGGTAGTGCTGATCCATTTGCTTAAACCCTCGCCTTCTCTTTCTTACCTGACTTGCAGCATATTCCTAACCACAGTAAGTCAGAAGGAAGTCCTATTGAATTCCATGGGCATTACTCCCCGGTAAGGGCACAGGACTGCCACCTCAATCCTACCTCCAAAAAGCATGTAAAGAAGCAACCTCTCTTCCCCTTTTGTTTCTGACTGTTTTTCCTCTGTTGTAAACTCTGCTTGTGTTATGATATGAATTGACTGAATTAATTTTGGCTTTAATTCTCTCCCGACCCCTGCACTCCACTTATCTGTGCCCTACTGACTGCAATAGGATTTCTGATAGGGGATAGTTAGAATTACACTGTTAGTATTTTACATGTGCCCCATGCGTATATGCCTACACATTCTCTTTTATATTTAATATTAGACATAATTCTTTCACGAATTAAGATAAATTGGGGAGCGGGGATAGGGCATCCACTCCGACATTTCAATGCTTTCTGTACAGTTGAGAACACACCGTTCTTCCAAGTGATATTGCACAAGGAACTTCACTCCCAACTTGACCTGTAGACCCTGAAGCTCTCGCTCTGGGAGTCATTTGAATTTTGGCAGCCAAGCAACTAAGAGCCAATCCCACAGCGCTGCACTGATCATGCTCAGCCTGAATTTAGAGCTTGCAGGTGAAAGAAGCCTGAATTGTCCTGTCTGCCTAGACAGTGGTCTGCTTACATGGTACAGTTTTCACTCTAAAACATCTGCCGTATTTAATGCCATATAAACTGAAATGTGAATTAATTTGCTTTGCAGCTGAAAGTTTGTCTTGCTGCAGAACTGCGTAGAGGATGATGCTCTTAATGTTACCTTTACACATACACATGCCACACACACAAAGTTAAAACAGCCTTTGAAGCCCGAAGTCGCATAGTTGCTTCTGGCTTCATTCATAAATAACTGAATGGAAAGATCCATGCAGTTCCCTGCAGGTATCCTTACAATATGACACTTCAACCAAGTGAGTTCTAAAAACATTTTTTCACCCAGAGTGCTGAAGACAGACTGTTATTCCTGCTCTGTGAAAAAGGAAGCACTTAATTCCCCCCCCCCCCACATCCCCAGTAATTACTGCTCCAGATGTCAGTTTTCCACAGCCGGAGACACAGATTCCAGATAGCAACACCGTCCTCAGCCACTATTCGGGGGGTTGGGAATGCAATCATTGGATGCATTCACTGCTACGGGAACATGAGTAACTATATCCCACATCACACACATAACTCCTAGGTGTGTACTTAACTTATAGCCGTCTTTAAAAAAATGCCAATACCACAAACATTCAAGAAAGTAAGATAGTCACCTACTTTGACAGGATCATCTGAGTTGCAGCCAATCTTCTCATTCTGAGACAAAAGCTGGAGCAAGAGACATTAATATGTCTTTCCCATTGAGTGGTTTCTGCTGCATGTGTGCTTGTATTTTCAGCTATGATGAGATTCTCTTTCTGGCAGTAACCATGAGGCTGATAGAACTGTAAAATGAATAATCATGCTGGCTGGCTGGCTGGCTGGCTGAAAAATAAAGTACTAGCACCACCATATGCTAGAGGTTGGGAAATTATCAAATACCCAAAGAGCCCTGTGAATCCTGTTTTTTCCGCTTCTCTCTCTGCACTTTATAGTTTTGTTTTTTAACTTACCATCAAGGCTGAGAGATATATGACAGGATATAGTGCTATTAATTTGCCAGGAAAATGCTAAGATGGTCCAAATGAATTTCTTTTCCTATGTTATAAATTGTGGAGAAGGTAGAAATTCCCCCCTCTACAACAAAAAATAGTTGGGCTTCTTAAAAATGCATTAGTTAAGGAGTAGGCAGGAAATGCATGCTGCTAGATATTCATTAGAATGGGGCCACAAGCTCAAAACGTTGGCAAAGGTAAGTTAAAGCTGTATGCATTTTCACCTAGCCCTTGGAAGCAAAAGATAGTTTATTGGCCCGTCATTACCCTCCACTCACCTACTGCTGAGTAGTATGATATTTGCCTGAAGTGGCCCTGAAAGGGATTAGTTTCCTACTGGTTCCTAAGCCCTTCCCATCTGTCACATGATCTTCCCATTTCTGCCTGGAACACAGCTGTTTACGTTTGCCTTGGGCACAAACAGATCCTGTGAGACAGAAAACTAACAAGTTGCTTACCTAATTTAAAGGAGATATGTGGTGAAAAACGAATTTTAAAACAAGACAAAATATTAGCTTCCCTATATGAAAAATGCTGAGGTGGGTTAATAAATGTAAATTAAATGGATTAAACCCTGTGGTCTAATTGCGCAGTCCTAGACACTTTTAGTCATCTGCAAATGTTTGAATTGTTACATGCTATAATACTGTCTGCTGCATGGCTTCCAGATAAGATTATATAAGACTGTTTGTGGTGGATTAATGTTCTGAGGGGTCCTGTGTGCAATCCTTTGTGGGGACCCTATTTTTTCACCTAAATAAATGTGACTGTGGTCAAAATTGGGAATGTATGAGACAATAATCATATTTCTGCCTTCACACTGTGCTCCTAAAAAAAGTTGGGAACAATCCCTGCTGTGGGCCAGACAGGAGGAAAAAGTAATGATAATACGAATATCTCTGAAATGGGTGCCCCCAAAAGTGGGTGCCCCCCAAAAAATTGGGAACACTTGGGGAAAATGTTTTGATTATGATAAAGTCTCTGCACTGTCTCACATTAAAACCACTTAGGAACAATCTCTCCCCCACCTTCTCAAAAAGTATTTCTATGGGAAGCCAAAGCAAAGGAGGTGAAACAGCCTCAACCTTTCCCTCAGCCCATGCACCCTACAAAAACCTAAAGAGGTTGACTTATCCTACCCTTTTCTTTCCATATTTGTCCCAAAACTGCTTGGGGAAGTCCTTCCCTTCTGGAAACCAGAGTGGCAAGAGGGTGGGCCCTTCCAACTCCACCAAGTGGTCTGTGCTGCACAGCTGGAGGAAGCATTTTTATTGTTTTATTATTTTTATTATTTTACTGCTCTGGGTTAGTGATCCCAGCTTAAAAGGTTGTCTGCACATACCTTCTTATCTAAAAGCAGTAGAGATTTGTTTTTTTGAAATGAAAGCTCAGAGTCTGCAGCATATCCTACCATGGGCTCTGGTGCAATCACTCCAATTACGCCTTTATAAATTCAGCCCTGTTTAGATGCTAAGGATTACTATTGCCTGGTGTCCACAGCTCTGACTTCGCTTGTTGGCTAAAAACGACAGGTAGGAGCAGTCAGGCTAGCTCCTTTAACAGAAATTGCTTTAAAATAAGACAGCTGAGTCTTGTGCCCCTGTTCAGAGGCCTTTGGGGGCACCAGGTTGGTGACCCCATCATGAGATAATTTTAATCTGTTTTAGTATTTTGACTTCTGTGTGTTTTAAAGTATGATTGTGATTTTTTCTTGATTTTATTGTAAACCATCTTGAGGTTTTCTACAATCAAGTGGTGTATAAATTTTATAAAATAAATAAATAATGGATCTGACTTAACCTACTATCACCAGGGAGCATGTGTATTAGACTCCAGGGCTTTTATGAATTCATTAGACAAGTCTCCCAATTCATTTCATATACTTTTATTTAATTGATGGGTTTCAATTATATATGTTAATACTAATAGATTTGTATACACTGTAGCTTCTTTCCCGCTCATGGACCACTTATGTGAAAGCTCTTGAGTAATACACTACAGATGCAAGTCATTCAGGAGTAATAAAATAAAATAATAAAATAACAATTTCATATAATATAAATGCATATTATAGTAATAAATGTAAATAAATGTTATTTATTTATATATAAATAATATTTTTTTTTATTTATACTCTACATCCAGAAATACACGAGGAAAAGGAGGACTTAAAAAAACCCAAAAAACAGCTTGCAATTTCTGCTTAAACTTTAACAGCCAGCTTGTAGTGCCTTAAGGGGAAACTGCTTTTCGTAAGAAATCTCTATTTCAGTGTACTTAACTTATAGCTGTCTTCAGTGTACAATGTTTTCTTTCAAAAAAAAAATTTGGGGTGTCATTATGTTACCATATGGGGCAGATTGTGTGTCATTATTTTACCATGTGTGGCAGAGCATGAGACTCTTAATCCCAGGGCCATGGGTTCGAGCCCCACGTTGGGAAAAGAAATCCTGCATTGCAGGGGGTTGGACTAGATGATCTGTGTCATCCCCCACAATTCTATGATTCTATGCCAAGCAAGAACTGAACAAGCTATCCATAAATCCATACTGTAAAACCATAAAATACAAAAAAACAACAACTTTAGATACAATTTCTAAAAGTAATGGCTTGAATTCCAAGTCGCTAAGATTTCAAAATATTAAGCAGTTTATAACTGCCTTTAAATAGAAACTTAAAGAAAGTCCCCTGTCCCCTCCTTCCCTCTGCAAGCTTCTCCAGGTGTTCAAAGGCCCTTCCTGAACAACGCAGGTAGAGGCTGTGGGGGAGGAGAAACCCACTTTCTGTGAAATTCCTTATTTCAATTTATGTTAGGATCCAATTCTGACTTTGGCAGCAGTCCACAATGCCCCAACCTACCTTATTCAGGAGAGCGCCCTACCATCCAGAGAAGCTTCTTGATGGGTGCAGGTGGCTGCAGGAGAAAGGATGTCTGCAAATGTTAACCTGTATGCTCTCTGAGGGGGGGAACAGGTCTCCTAACAACACTCAACACACTGAACAAACTACGGCTCCCAAGATTCCCCACCATGCAAGAACAATTGCCTCAAAAAAAGTTTTTTCATGTGCTTGCAGACTTCTAAGGTTTGAAGTTTTTTTCAATCCCCAAATTAAATAATAAAAGTATTTAAGTTAAATCAAGAGGATGTACCTCATCTGCCTCATCTGAGGCACTCTCAGCCTAGGATCAGACTGTAGATTACACTGATATCCTCACATGTTTTTTTCTAATCCACTTTGTATCTTTCCCTAATCTGCTAATTCCCTAATCCCCATTGCTAATTAGATGATCAGTCTCAATTCCTAATTCAGGTTTGCTCTGGTTAATCCTAACAGCTACTATTTTGCCACATATCCTAGATGACAATTGATGTTTAGCATCCTTGAATCAGTCATTATCACAGCATTCTGGTGTGGGGAGGGGATACTCCTGTGATGTGGCTTGGAATGCAACTATTATTTCCTGCTCTCTTTTTGCATGCTGAGCCCAAGGATGGTTTCTATGGATGGGAGAGATGCTTGTGTTCTGCAAGCCATCGCCACTCAGGCACAAGAAGATTGTACTGGGTACAGAAGTCAGCCCCGAATTATGTTGTGTACATTTAAAATAAAATTTCTGACACTTAAAGTTGCAAAGATCGGCTGCAAAGTGTGTGAATAAAATCTAATCAGTTTTTTACAGCTAGAAAAAAAAGCCTATTCATTACCGGCAGCCACAGCCTTCTGCCTCTCCCTGTGACTAACTGAAGCAGCATAAATGATTAATTCATACAGGGGATCATAGAATCCATCTTTCTTGACATGAAATTTTGATTATCAACATACATAATTTTAATGTCTTTCTATTGCTACATGCCAAATATACACAATGGTGGCTCATTCTAATAATGACTAAATAGGCTACATCCCAGGAGTTTGATTTATAGCTTCCCCTTTAAATTTCTACCCATCTCCAGAGCTGAAAGCTGAAACCAGCTTATTCAGGGCTTAGCTGTGTCCTGTCCCTGACATTTCTTGTGTTCATTCCAGCTTTTATAGTTTCGTAGATTTGCTTGATACAGTCCATCTTGCTGTCTTCCTGCTACGGAAAGACTGCTTCCTGCTATATTATGCATAGAGGCAATGCTTTTTTTCTTTAAAAATGTTTAGGGGTACTCTCATTCTGACTCCAGAAAAATCACAATTTAATCGTTCAAATCGGGGAAAATAAATACAGTAAATGGACAAAAGTACAATGATTCACAAAGTATTTAGGGGTACTGTATGTGTACCCCTGCGTCCCCCCAGAAAAAAGCACTTAATAGTGGTATCTCTATCCCTATTTCATAACACTGGATCAGTCCCGCAATATAAAGCCTGCATTTTATTTTTAAAGCATCGTGATATGCTATAAAGAATTCAGCTCCCTGTCTACTGTTTATTTAATCTGCTATATCTCTATTTAATCTCTGTCTAGAACTCAAGGTAATGTATTCCAGTTGTAGTCAAAACAGAAATATGCGTAAAAGAACTATTAAGCTGTAAGAGATCTGACTGAGCAACCTACACCTGAACTGAGCATTTTGTTGCTGGATTACATCCATACTCATACTTCCTATTCTAGTTCTAGGCATTACAGTCAAACCACCTGAGTATTTACATACCCATATCAGATACCCAACATGGAGCTCTCCAGATGTTGTCTGACTACAACCCCCATTAGACCAACCCAGCATGACCGACAGAGTTGATGGGAGTTGCAGCCTAATACCATATAGAGAGCACAATATTGACTACTGCTGCTGTAATCAGCTCTGAGTGAAGAGAGATACTGTATTTTTCGCTCTATTGGACGCACCAGACCACAGGACGCACCGGACCATAGGAGGGGGAGAATAAGGGGGGGTTCTTGTTCTCCCCCTCAAAAACAAGGTGCGTTCAATAGCAGGCCTTGCCGCTGCCCCCCAAGCTTGTGGCCTTGCCGCTGCCCCCCAAGCGCAGCTGCACTCCAAAGGCTTGAGGCTTCAGGGACATCCTTTGCAGCCTCCACAGGATGGCGGGGTGCCTTCACCCCGCAGCCCCGCGGAGGCTTTGCGCAGCCATCCCAAAGCCGGAACAGCGAGACGGAGGGCTGCGCAGCGCCCCGTCTCGCTGTTTTGGCTTCGGGGACAGCAGGCTGCTATCCGCAAGCCTTGGGAGCCCGGCGGGAACTCCCGCCGGGCTCTTAAGGCTTGCAGAGAGCTGCCCACTCCCCGGGCTTCGGGCTGCAGGCAGCTATGCACAAGCCTGTGGAGCCTGGCGGGAACTTCTAAGGTTTGAAGTTTTTTTCAATCCCCAAATTAAATAATAAAAGTATTTCAATTAAATCAAGAGGATGTACCTCATCTGCCTCATCTGAGGCACTCTCAGCCTAGGATTAGACTGCAGGGAACTCCCGCCGGGCTCCCCAGGCTAGCGCACAGCTGCCCGAAGCCCGGGGTGCACAGCACCGTGCTCCCCAGGCTTCGGGCTGCAGGCAGCTGTGCGCAAGCCTGCGGAGCCTGGCGGGAACTCCCATCCGGCTCCGCAGGCTTGCGGATAGCTTCCTGAAGCCTGGATTCTTTCAATAGGACGCACACACTTTTCCCCTTCATTTTTGGAGGGGAAAAGGTGCGTCCTATAGATTGAAAAATACGGTAATTTTTAAGAGTGATAATAGCACTGCTGCTGCCCAACATGTGAACTTCAGCAGAAGTACTAACGTATTAATCATGAGGCACCCTAGTTGGGTTGTTGAAAATATTTCCAAAATCGGCTTCCAGGTCAGTGCCATTGGTGAATGGCGGAGTTCCTCCGATCGGAGGAACGGGCTCCGTGAAAACTGGGTCTTCCCGCTGCGGCGAAAGTGGGGACCCGCTAGAAATCCCAGGCGGAGGAAGCCTGGGAACGTGGGGTTCGGCAGGGCACCAGAAGCGCCCTCCTACTCGCGGGGAATCCCCTTTAAGGGCTCCGGAGCGAAGTGGGGTGAGAAGCGCGGTGCTACGAACTGACTGCTACTTTCACGGAGTGAAGCCGCACAGCCATCGCCAGAGAGCACTGACTTTTTCCTGTGGACAATTGGACTTAAAACAAGTACCCGTGAGTAGAAACGGAAAATTGGATCAAGAAATTGTTTTAATTTGGTAACGAAGCGGGAAGGTGTAAACAGGAAGTCCGCCTTCCGTTTCCTTGTATATAGACTAAAGCAAAAATATTGCAAGCTAAAGCCGGGAAGCCGTCAAAAAAGGACTATATTTCCTTCATTTAGAACTACTGAAACCCCCCTTGGAAGCAGGAGAAAAGGGGGGGGACTCTGTTTAACCCTATCAGGAGAGGGAGTTAAGAAGGATAAGTTTCCATCGTCTCTAACCTGGGAACGGGGTGTCAGAGACAGAAACTGTTGCTGAGGTTCATTGATGGTGAACGTAACATTTTGACAGATAGCTAATGAAGAGAAACAAGTTGATTCCAATGTTGCCTTTGCATCCTAAAGAAACAAAATACCTGAAAAAGTCTGAAACATCTGAAAAACGAAAGTAACTTTCCTTTGTCTTTTAAAAAAAAAATGGCTACAAGTAGATTGTCTCCTCTAGAGGGAGCTTGCTAGATTGTTGTTGCAGCATATGTGAGACCCAACATCTGTGAGATTAAGACTGTGGGAACAGACTTTTTCGACCTTGAACAAAGATGAGCTGGGAGAAAGACTGGTTGCTTGCTCTATGCAAGACAAATGCTTTGCTGGAACAGATGCATGAAAAGATGGACTTAATGAATGAGAAAATGGATTTGACTGTTGTGGTTAATAACATTGATACAGAAATCATCCAAGAACCAATCTATCAATCTGTACCGACTGGGCAAGTGCAGTTGACAATGGAGGAGGATGTGGCTGCACCTCAAATAGTACAAATGGAGAGACCCGAGGCCCTACAGGAGCATAAGCCACTGTTATTGAAGATTGAAGCTGGAGCGGGCCAAGGGGAGTCTGGAGATGAGGAGATTTCTAGCTTTGGAGAGATTCTGAAATTTGATTTTAAATTCATTTTGGATTACATCGAGGACTGTGGGGAGTGGGACTGTGGGGAATGGGTGAGCTGGATGAAGGGTGATGGAGACAATTTTGGGTTGGAATCCCCCAGAGACCTACTCCACAATGAGAAAGGAAAGAAACTAAGACAGAGACCAACAAGAGACAAGGAAAAGGGCAAGCACAAACAAGATGAAGAAGAATTGCAGAAGGGACATGGAAGAGATTTAAGGGCCTCGGACATAAGGCTTCCAGGTTGATGGACTAGACGGAATGGACAATAAGGACTGACATGACCCGAGACCAGGAAGAAGAGACGCTGGATGATGATTGGAAGAGAATTTATAATGGAAACTTTTCTTATTTTAGAATCAGCTAATGAATATTAGGGAAAATGTGGGAATGAAACTATACGACTCTAGCAGAAATGATATTAGGAGTTATGTATATTTGAAATTTAAGATTTAAGTTTTAAGGCACTTAGGGGTAAGATAAGGATAAATAAATTAAGGTAATCTGAATAATAGAATATGGGGAAAGATGGTAAGGATTTGTTGAGCTAATTATTAGGATAAATTGTTAAGACAATTTTTATAACAAAAATTGAGAAAGATGGAAAGAATTTGCTGAAATAATTACTAAACTAGAATACAAAAACGGAGGTGTGAGGAGGTCAATGAAACAAGCAAATGGAAATTATGGATATGCAATTTGGGATTTGTTCCCCCCCCCCTCTTTTTTCTTCTTTTTTACTTTTTTATTGCTGTATTGTGCTTTTCTCTTTTTTTATTGTCTTCTTCTTCTTTTTTTCTTTGTGTATTGTAGTGTTGTTTGTTATTTTTTATTTTTTTTGCAATTTTGAAATTATCAATAAATATTATTTTTTTTAAAAAATGAAAATATTTCCAAAATCACTGAGAATATTGTGGTAAATATTTTGGAAACAATAAAAAAGCTGGACTACATCAGAGTGAGATTATTCACTTTACATCAAGTACTTGACTCAATGATCAAATCAGGAGCATATATTGGATAGAAACTGTACTACCTGTTGGACACCCTATAGCAGGGCAGTCCAACTTTTCATACCAAGCGGACCACAAGAGTACTTCAACATGGAACCAGCAGGCTGTACACTGACTTGTCGCACAGGAGCAAGGCCAAAATTTGACACTTTCTTGCAGCCCTCATGCTGCCTTCCCAAAGCCAGCTAAGTGAAGTGTTGGGCTTTGGGAAGGAGGTACAAGGCTCTGCAAGGGTCTTAGAGCCCTCCCATCTTCTTCCCAAAGCTGGTAATGTGCTAACTAGGCTTTGGGAAGGAGGCAGGAGGACTCTGGGACTCTTTCAGAGCCCTCACACTGCCTTCAAAAGCCCAGCACCTCATTACTTGGCTTTGGGAGAGCAGTATAAGGGCTGAGGGGGGGGCGGTGTCAAATGTTGCTGAGGACTGCCAAAAAGACCTCAAGGGCCACATGCGGCCTTCAGGCCATGTGTTGGACCACTCTGCTCTATAGGTTAGTACAAGAGCAGAGTACCAACTGTCCTGAGTAGGCTCAAAAGAGCAATATTCCACCAAACCCTTGATAATTGTCATAGATTTTGGTATCTAGAATTGAAAGCAAAAATGAATCCAGTTCTGCAGTTCTAGATCAACTGGTCCACTCTTGCAGGATGATTCTGATGTCTGCTTAGCAAACCCCAAACGTTATGAGTGGGATTCAGCAAAAGTGAGTATGATTTAAAATATGTATATTTATATTATAAATATTTAACATATTTATAACCTACCCTTTGTCATGGGAGCTCAGGATGAAGCAATAAAGAATTATTTAAAACAATAAATCCATTAAACAAAACATAAAAGCAGATAAAATCAGTTAACATCAATCACAAAACTACAGAGAATCATCTATAAAATTCCCAGGCTAACCATTTCCAAATGTTTGAATAAACAGGCATGTTTTAAGCTGGCGCCAAAAGAAAAGAAGAGCCAGCGACAGCCATATCTCAGCGGAAAAGATGTGCCAGTGTTGCATCAAGAGTTGTGGTATTGCCAGTCTTAAATCAAACACATGAGCATCACATGGCAAGACCTGAAACTAAAACAGGATCACCAAGAGAATTATGTGTTAAAATGTTATGCCCTACAGTCACACTGACCAGGCCACACCTTGACCAAATCAGACACTCCCATAGATTTCACACCAATTCAACTCACATGTTTCTAGAATCCAAAGTTAAAGGGATAGACGAGAGCAATGGCATGTGAGCATACCAAGCGTCATGGCAGTCTTAAAGTGCACACCAATTGGGAAGCTGGACAAGAACATGAGCTCCTGATTACACAGGATTCTCCTCTTTGTGCCCATTGTGATGGTGGTGGAGGAAAGCATCCTGGCATCTCTGCTCCCCTCCCAGCCAAGTAGGAGATGGCTGGGAAGGAGAGGGCAGAGGGGCACCTGGGAAGACCTAAGAGAAAACATAATGCCTCTGGTTGCAACTGGAAAGACTGAAATGGGTCCTTCCCACAAAGACACAGTCATTGTCTTCCATTGCCCATCCTTACCCACTGTCAGATTCTGGTCTGGTGCCAGATCCCACAGAGAAGGCAGGTATTGTTGGACCCTTGATTGCTCTCAGTGAACAACTCACCCCAGCAAAGGTTGAGTGCAGACTAAGTTTTTTAAGTCTCCCACCTCCACTTCTTCCAGGCTCCACTCTGTTGTGGATAATTTTCAGATTCTTAAAATGACGGTCTTTTGGCCTGAAGATGGGTACTCCTCCATTTATAGTTTCTCACCTAGTGTACTTCCAAGGCTGCTGGATAGGTGACGTACTGTGGGAGACCTTTGATTTCTCAGGGGAAAGTGGCTGGGGAGCCTCATGCCTTTGATGCTATAAGGGAGGTTTTTCTGGGGGTTCCTGATCGTCAGCCTCACGCTCTGTGGACTCAGTGGTTCTCCAGCAGCAGGCTCCAAGCAAGCCCTGAACCTAACATGGCTACTTGTCTGAGTCCTCTTTTGGAGACTCTATAGCCTCCAGCTCTGAATCTTGTTTGCAGCTGGGCCCTGAGGTTGTGAAACTCACCCCTTTTGCTGCAGGCTGGCGTAATGTACTTTGAAGTAATCTAGGGCAAGATTGATCTGGACAGATCTTCCTTTTAGTTGTACAATTGTCTCACATTTTCATTGTATTTCCTCGTCACTTTCCAAATGGGGCGGGGGAGTTAATTGCGCTTGTTGGTCTAGGATGATAGAGAGTGCCTTAATCCACTTTAAATGCACAAACCTAACATTCTGGTATGTGATTGAATCACTCCTGAATCACTGTGTGTCGGGAGGCACACATTGCCACCAATTTAAAAGAGAAAGGTATTTTCAGCAGCTAGAGGAGGGTGATTGGAGTCTAGGAACAGTAGAAAGAAAAAGTGTTAAGCAGCCGCTTCCACAGCTCATCTCCTGTTCCCCCAATCAAACTGGCAGGCTCTTGTGCCTCTCAGCTAATCGTCACTTCAATTTATTACAGCCAATGGACCAGAAAAAAGATCTGCATTTGAAAGAACGTGATCATTTAGTGTAGCAGCACATGCACTTTGGAACTCCCTGCCTCTTGAGATTAAGCAGGCGTCTTCACTGCACTCTTCGGCACCTGCTGAAAGCATTCATGTTTAGTATTGCAACTTTTGTATGCTTTGAAGTATGTTTGCGTTTTATCTTTTTGTACACCTCATTTGGTCCTCATGTCTTATATGCATAAATCAGATATTTGCATATCTGATTTGCATTGACTCATGTACGCAATTTGAATTTTGGCAATTATCATCTAGTGTCAGTAAACATTAGAAACTTGATTCTTGAGATTCTTTGGTGGTGGGTGGTTTTTTTGCTACAACGGACTAACCTTGCTGCCCACCATGGCATCAGCAAGAGCAACTGAATTTTGAGAAAATGAGAAAGGAACTGTAGACCTATCCTTGCGATCAGGATTCTGTGATTATCCCAGTATGGAGTTATTCCATAAATATTATCATACTGTGAGAAAACTGATCATATGAATCATACTAAAGTGGCAAAATAAAGTTCTTTTATAATCCAACATAAAACTGGGATATAAGACATATAAAAGGGAAGTGTCTGTGATCTAGAGGTTTATTCTCTTCATAAATCAGATCTTTGCCAGTTAACTAGGCAAAGGGGTACTCAACAGAAGTGCATGACATAGCATTGCAGCTGAAACAAGTTTATAAAAGTATTTTGTAATGATAAAATAATTAGGAAAGATATTGCCAATCTGCATAAATATCATTTCCCAAATAATTGTGAAATAAATGTAGACAGATATCCAGAAATAATCAAATATTTCTTCATCAAGACAGAGATGCTGATATCCATGTGCTTTTTGCCTGTCACATTGCAGAACTTTAATGCATCTGGTTAAATATTTACAGTCCACCCAAGGCCTGCTGGGGCAACATCTCATTTTCTCCCTAGAGGCTTGTAGGGATTGCAACTTTATTATCATGGTCATCATCATCAATTACATGATCATTAATTAAATTTCTATACCTCATCTGATATACAATACTATAATAACAAACAAAAACACTCCTCCACAAAGCTAAAAATGCCATAGATTGTTCTTATTATTAATATTATCCAACACAAACCCATTGAAATGAAAAAGATTGTGTTCTGCCGTTATGATAGTCTCTAACTCTTTTTGGTTTTATGTCCCTTTGCTTTTGCCTGTTTTTACAAAAGGGGAGGGTGGAACAGTGGTGAGAAAACTCTCAAATGTCCCGATTCTGTTTGATGCAAATTTACACTTGTTAAATATATAATGTGTTAGGCATTATAGCTGATGTTAGACATTTTCCTACCACATTCCTTTCTTTTCAAGTCACAGATGTGTCCAAATGACTTATTCCCTTCATGTTCTGGCTTATTTGGGTGTGCAATAGCTGACCTTTATCTGATTGGCATCTGATAGAGCACTGGTATGTCATTCTGTTTAAGAAAAATATATGCACTCTGTTGCCCTGGAGTGGGGAGTGGATGGACAATATTTTAGGAATTATCATTGCTACTCGTGATGCTTGTTTGTTTTCTTATTCTTTCAAACATGGCATACAAAACGCAAAAGTTATGATTACTGTTTTTAATGACACGGAGACAATGATTGTTACTATCACAATATGACAATACAGCCTCATTTCTCCCCTCTGAGATGGACAAATAAAATATTAAGAAGTGATTTAACTTCTTGCCTGCTTTATTGTTTAGAGAATGCCCTGGTACAAAGAGGCATGTTACCCTTAAGTACATCAACACATCAACAGACATACCACCTCTGTTTAGATCTCCAGGTAACTAGTACATCAAATCCTATATACTGTATGTATTCTATCATATCAGCTTTTGATCATACTTGGATCTCTTAGACTTTCAACTTAAGATCAACAATAATTCACGGAATTACAGACATCAAAAGCAGACTACGGCCAGGAATAAAAACATGCTATTATCCTAGCATCCATTTCTAAATCTGCATTATATTCCAGCCATCCAAATCAATAAAAGCAGCATTCTGACAGAATAATTAAGACAGCTTACTTAAAACATTTACAAGACAAAAACCCAAATTGTTAATTCAGTGTATAATTCAAGTACTTTCCACTTTGACTTCTGATGTGTCCACCTGCATTAGATGTGCATGTTGAGTATTTTCAACTCACACATCATGATTTCCTAAACCCAGATAAACTATTCCCCCTTTAAGACTGATCAAATGGATCAAATGCAACTGCAACTTAGAATGTTTTAAGAACTGTAAGAATGCTATATAATCTCACATTTATTTTTCATGTTAGTTTCTTGTAACATACTACTGTATATAAAATGAAAAATGTTACTATATATTAACTGTATTATACTCAAAATATGTAAACACATAGACAAAATATTGCTGCATCTCAATGAAAAGCCCACTCTCCTTTTCTATTCTGTTGCTATTGTGCATTGTTAAGAGTTACATATCTAACAGATACAATATTAAAGAGCAAAGGGAGGGGGGAATAAAATAACTTATTTCCAACAGCTGGTATTTTTTTTTTAGAAATAGGATGCTAAAATCTGACACACACACACAGTGCTAACTCTATTTGTTCTTAAAATATCACAAACCTTTGAAGAAAACCTCCTACAGAGCCACTTGTACCAGACTCAACCTGATGTTTTAAAATCAGGCACAGAGATCTCCAAGCATTAGGTTGGCCCAATCTGAACTATTTGTTTTATTTGTACAGTACCAGCAACTAGTTAGTGTAGCAGATCATTCCCCAAAAAAAGAATGACCCAGTAAAATTGCTCTTCCTTTTTCTGTATCT